TCAAAAAGGATCATTTAATTTTATACAAATGCAAGTACATGCAAAAAACAAGTAAAATGGAGAAGAAAGGAAAAAGTTTGACCATTTGTAAGAATATGTGGGGAAAATTATTGAGGAAAAAGGGGTCTGTACGCTTCAATATTACCCGAAATTGGAGTGAATATTTTTATGGAGATTGACAGAAAAGAGGGTAACCATGTTAAGCTTAGGTTATTTTTGTGATACATAAATATCCATTGGAGAAGCACTCCGACGCTTCGAGGGGTAGTGCCGGGGATTGAGGTTTGCCGGGGATCGAGGAACCCTAATTTATAAAATTATACTATTAAGTTTAATTCCATCGTCAGCAAAAATCATTTGTGCAATTAACAGCTTCCCTCCATTTCGTTTCAAGTAAATTAAAAATTTCTAAAAAAAATTTTAAATAAAAGGAAACAATCCAGTTAAAATAACCTTTACAAACATAGTCGACTCTTTTGCTAATTGAATTAAAATTTTTTCGCCAGAAAGAAAATTTATAGTTAAATTTGTTGCTGATTTATGTTTTTTTACCATTTTAGACAATACCAACTTTGTTTAAAATTAATTCAAATTAAACTTCAACACCTGAAAATTAAAAAAAAAATTTTAAAATTGTCTTTTGAATTAAAATTTTTTCTCTCAATATTCCCTTTATTTCGAAAATTTATTCCTTATTAGGAAAGAGCCAGTTGAGTCTCATAGGTTGAGACCCTTGATCAATATTTCAGCTATAACTTTTTTGATTTTTAATCGATTTAAGTAATTTATATATCACTCGAAAGCTCTAGATCTAGAGATTATTTTACTATCAGAATTGATATGATAAGATCCTCAACAAAAATTTAGAGTCGTATAAAACCAAAAAAACACGATTCCGCGCACTTATCTAGCTGTATAATTTTTTAAGTTGATCTGATCAAATCAATTCTGTTATCTAATTTTTCCTTATATCCAGGGCTATCGAATGAGCCCAAATTTATTCGAATTGGTTGAAAATAAAAAAAGTTATGACCCAAAATATGACCCGAAAACACTAACGACGAGACTCAATATTTCAATTTTCTCTAGAGATCGGAACGGGATCGGGACCCGGTCCCGTTTCCCGGTTTCCCGGTCCTTTTTCCCGGCTTTTTTGAGGAGACCGGGATGAAACCGGGATCGGGAATTCCCGGTTTTCCCGGTCCGGGTCCCGGCCGGTTAATTTTCATTTCCCGTTTCCCGTTCCCGATCCCGGCTTTTTTTGGACCGGGAAACCGGGAAAAATTCTAGCAGCTAATTTTAAATATTTTTGCTTGACGTTTTGATTTTTGACTTAAAAATATTGGAGATTTTACAAAAATTCTCAAAATTTTCGCCTGCGGCGCTGAAAACGGAAAAAATTTGGCTGTTTGGCCTTCCAAAATTCTCAAAATTTTCGCGGAAGAATTTGGAACGGAGAAATTTGGAGGTATTAGTAGTTAACCCCCCCCAAATCGCTCCTCCCAAATCGCTCCTCCCAAATCGCTCACCCCAAAAAACGCTCTTCACCCTAAACCCATACCTTTTGATGCTTTCTTCGTTCGATTATGCCGCCAGCCTATACCTTTTGAGGGGTTCAAAGGAAATTAATAAAAGTTTGTGGGTAATTAATCATATTTAAAGTGATTAATTGCCTTTTAAAGGTATAGGTTATGACAGGTGTCAAATAAATCTGTACAAGAAAAAAGAGCGATCTGGTGGAAGGGTACATTGAAATTTGAAAGTGCCAGTTTTCAAAATGTCAAACGACAAAATGCCAATTTTTAGAAATTTCCCAATATTTTTTCAATTATGTCCAAAAATTACCGGAAGTACAAATGTAAGGGTTTAAATTAGGGTTGCGCCCCGAGCCTTCGGGGTTGAAAAAGTCGGGGGTCGGGGTTTTCGGGGTTGACAAAGTCGGGGTCGGGGTCGGGGTTGCTCAAATTGTTCGGGGTCGGGGTCGGGGCTGAAAATCATGTCGGGGTTCGGGGTCGGGGTCGGGGGTCGGGGTTGAAGTGAAAATTTACAAAATCCAGCATTTTTATCCAATATTACTGTGCAAAATCAACATTTTTATTAAAAAATCAACTTAATCTTCATTATCTTCACTTTCTAAATCTAATTCGTTATTAGTTGAAGGCGCAAGAAGTACTTTATCCAAGTTATCCTTCATAATCCCCAAACCCACAAGGTAACTCTTACTCCCCCTCTTAAAGGGAGTGAGGGGATATGAAGGCATATCAGAGGATTAAGATGGATATAATGGGATTTAGAGGGATTTGAAGAGATATCGGGGATTTGCAAGTATAACTGGAGAAATCCATCTATCCATCAATTTCTCCTAAAGCCTCTGTATCCCTTCATTGAGTTTAGCGCCGCAGGCAAAAATTTTGAGAATTTTGGAAGGTCAAGAGCCAGATCTCTTCCATTTTCTGCGCAACAGGTGAAAATTTTGGAAAATTCATGACTAGTTTAAAATTTCTAAAATTTTTTCAGGTTTAAAATATTAAAAAAAATAAATTTGCATATTTAAAATCAAGATCAAAGTTTAAAAATATTTATTTTTGAGAAGAAAAATTTTCTCAGTCTCATTTCAATCGATGTATTCGAACACCATACCTATCAAAATAGCTAGATGGGTGAAGTCAGTTAACCTAACCACTCGCCCACCGACCAACAAAAGGAAATAGGAGAAAATATAAATATTCATTTCCCTTTTCCTTCATATATTTAACATCAAAGTCCCGATCCCGTTCCGATCTCTAGTTAATTAATGCAGTTTGAGTCGGGGTCATAAAAATTTTTCGGGGTTCGGGGTCGTCGGGGTCGAACTTTCGGGGGTCGGGGTTTTCGGGGTTGGGAATGTCGGGGTCGGGGTCGGGGTTTTAGGTCAAAAAGTGTCGGGGTTCGGGGTCGGGGTCGGGGTTAGTCGGGGTCGGGGCGCAACCCTAGTTTAAATAATTATTTCGCAATAGCACGTTCAAAATGTCAAACGACAAAATGCCAACACTTCAAAATGTCAACTGACAAAATGTAACAATTTAAAGCCTTTACAATGTAAAACAAGCAATGCCACAGTCCAAAATGTCAAGCAACAAAATGCCAGGTGACAAATCAACAACTTTCAAAATGTCAAGTGACAAAATGCCGCAGAGCAAAATGTCAAATTCAAAATACCAACTTTCAAAGTCAAGGGACAAAATGACAACATTAGAAATTGTCAAGTGACAAAATGCCAACCTTCAAAATGTCAAACGACAAAATGCCACCACGACAAAATGTCAAACGACTTTGTAAATTTCAATTCAAAAAACCTATTACCATTAATAAAACCTATATATTAATAATCTAGTAATAAAACTAGTTCAAGACAAACTTACACACTATTAATTAATTTAACATTTTATTTTACAATTACATCACAAATTCGTCTAACATTCGATTTCTATTCGATAAAATTATTTATTTTAATTTCATTAAAAGTTTAATATTATCACATATAATCCCTTCATTCTAATCTAAATATGGTTCATATTCCTTTTGATCCGCGAACTATCGGATACGATGACCATCATACAATTGTTAGTCAAATAGGAGCAGGAACTGATGAGAATTATTACTATTTTCGCGGACTCAATCCATATCAACGTGGATACGGGAGACAAGCGGGTGGCGGAGTCGGAGATGTACTTAGAAATTTGTGGCGTTTCCTTTTACCGTACGCAAAACGCGCGGGGACAGCTGTTGCGAAAGAAGCATTGGATACTGGAGGAAGAATTTTGGAAAGTGTCGGGAATCCAGAATATGGCAATGATGAATTTAAGCCGAATTTTAAGCAAGCAGTAATAAGTGAAGGAAAACGCGGATTGGACAGATTACTTGAGAAGGGTGGAATGCCAAAGCAGTTTGGAACCGGATTGCAAGGGAGGGACAGTATAAAAGGACCCAAAAGAAAGCGTAAACCTCATTCAACATTTTCAAAGGAAAAAAGTCATCAACTCATTATTGGTAAACATCCCTCTCTTAATCCAAAAAAGAAACGTCAAAAAATAGATACTTTCGGTCTTTATTAAATAAAAATGTCTACTCATCAGAAAATTGATCGTGATTCTGGCAACGCAATAACAAATGCATTATCGTTTTTCGAAACTCCCCATACGAATGTCAGTATCAGCAATTCATCATTTATTGAATTACTCACACTCAACCCTGTAAATATCACCCCTTTTCATTTCAAAATTCATGCGACTACAAATTATATTGATCTATCCAAAACTTATGTTTTTACTGAACTTAGAATTAAAAAGGAAGATAAAGATGGTAAACTTGTCGATATAGGCAAGGATGATAATGTGGCGACCGTGCAGCTTATAGGCCACACAATTTGGAAAAATTGTCGTATGCATATTAATGGGACACAGGTTTTTGAAGGGAATTCTCTCATGGCTTACAAAAGTATTTTTGACTACGAACTAACCTACCCACAAAGTGTAAAAAACTCTTATCTTTCTGTAGCGGGATATTATGATGATGGGGCCACACAAACATATCCAGGAGTTGATGCAAATGGATATGGAATCAAATCAAGGAAAAAATTATTCATAGATGAAGATGGAAACCCGCGCAGTGCACAATTTATGGCCAAATTAGACGTTGATATTTGTAATCAGCCAAGATATTTAGTTAATCAATGCGAAGTTGATATTGAATTACTCCCACACGAATCAAGTTTCTTACTCAGTGCTCCCTGGGACACTGCACCAAAATACCATTTAGAAATTTTGGCTTGCAAGCTATATGTAAAGAAGGTTGAGCTAATGGACAGTTTAGCATTTGATATTGCAAAAAAACTTGAAATGAAACCTGCACGATATCCATTAAGGAAAACATCTTTAAAATCCCTATTTATTAGTGAAAACCGAACAGAATTTAATGCTAATCTATGGATGGATCAGGTGCCACGAAGAATTATATTGGGAATGGTTGGTAATAAAGATTTTGTAGGACGACAAAAGACAACACCATTTTATTTTCAACATTTTAATTTGAGAGATATTTCTATAACTGCTGGGGGAGTTACTTATCCATCAGCTCCTTATTCCCTTGATTTTCCAAAAGGAAACTACGCTAGAATTTATCATGACATGCAAGAAGCTATAGGATACGCGGGATCGTTAGAAAGTAACGGTATATCTATGTTTCGTTATGCTTATGCAGGATATTGCTTTTTCGTATTTAACCTTACAAATAGTCAGGAAGATAATGGACCGGAGATGTTTGATTTGATAAAAAATGGTACAACTAGTATAAGAATGACATTTAATGAGGCGGTTCCAAGTGGTGGAATTGTACTAGTGGCTATGGGTGAAATCGATTCTCTGCTCATGTTAGATAGAAACAGAACTATTTCCACAGATATTTCAGTATAAATACCCTAATTTTTCCTCAAATTTTCCTTTCCCATTTCATTTAACAATGTTCCATATTACTATTAAAATTGAATTTAGCATTGTTTTAATTATTTTATTTTTCTTTTTGTATAAATTATCACTACAGTATTCTATGACTAATGAAAATGATAATCTAGAATATAGAGAAAAATTACGAGAATATATAGGTTATTACGCCAATACAGTACCTACATCAATCGAAATTAATAATAATAATACAACAAGATTCTCAATTTTTCCTGAAAGATTTAATAATAATATCGGTCTAGCTTCTATATTTAACCCAGATAAAAATATTACAATTTTTGATTTATTGTCAATGGAACATGTGAATAATGTACAAATTCCTTCTTTTTGCAAGAATTTTCCTTCATCAGAAACATCAATAGCTCAGACTATTTACTGCATTTCATTTATTATAATTTGGCTTTTATTATTAGCTGCAGCTTTAGCCTATCAACTTAGAAAATTTTTAAAAATTAAAACTATCAACAAAGACATTGAACTTGGAGAGATACAAAGAGAGATATAAACATTTCCTTCCTTTACAGAAATGGACACATTACAAATCGAGAAAATATTATCACAAAATAGAATTACAAGAAGGTATTTTATTGGATGCTTTGCCGCAGATAAAATTCCACAAAACTTTCAAAAATATCCTTGCTCAATGGTCGTCAACTTTGAAAAATCTTCTCAGAAAGGATCACATTGGATTGCATTTTTCATAATAAACCCAGAGAATATATTAATTTTTGATTCATTATTACTCCCCAACCCTCCAATTTCAATTAAAAATTTTATTTCCAAATTTCCAAACCGTGTAATTAATAATGTACCAGTTCAAAACCCTCTTTTACCCACTTGTGGTCAACATTGTATCACTTTTATTTATTTTATTTCCTCTGGATATTCCTATAAAAAATTTCTAACCCTATTGTCAAATAATTCATATCCAGACGAATTCGTTTTTTCTTTTATTATTAAAATGATAAAAAATATATAATGTTTTACAATTTTCAAAAATAATTTTGATTTAATTAAAATCTTAACATTCTGTTAAACATTAGTGTAATAATTACAGTTCCGTGATCAAATTTTATTAGATTTCCGTTCATCCATCTTAGTTCAATTTCAATCTCATTAATCTCTCTGGGTAACACTGGTATGAACATTGGCTGATCATACACTCGTTCAACAACACCGCCGGACCTATTCTCAACAGCCACAATTCTTAGTAATGAACTGACCGAATTTCCCATTATTACATTACTCGTTAATCCTTTTGAATAAACAGCAAAGCTTGTGAATCCTCCTTTGAGATCAATTCCATATTTTCCAATTTGACCGTTTACCAATTGTCCCGTGGGGAAGCCGAGAACATAACATAATTGTGAAGATATAATTATATTGCTAATCTCAGGATCATTAAAAATTACTCTAAAGCGATCAATACTGTCCAAATATTCAAATTCGATGTCCGAATGTAAATCTTTTGCCTGAGATTCCTTTTCTTTAATCAAAGTAACTGTCTTTTCTTTAATTAGATCATCAGTATTTTGCTCATACTCTTTCTCATCAAATATCTCCTCTGTTGGTACAATTTCTTCTGTTGAATCTAAATCTAATACTGGACTTCCTCTGCTTTTCTCCTCCCAACTTTCTTCCTCTTTTGCGAAACTTTCCTCCTCAGCTACATCTTCCTCTTCACTTATTGGTTGCTCAAGGGATATAGGTTGCCCATATTTATCTATTCTTCTTGCATGCATTAATTGTTCCTTGCTTTCTTTCAACTCTTTATCTTTTCGTTCATTTTCCTCTGACTCTCTGGCCTTGTCCTGCTCATACCCATGCCTATCTTTAACAACTTCAACCATTTCATCTGTAATTACAGGAGCAGGAATTGGCACTGGTTTGCCTTGATCATCTACCTTTAGAGCATCTTCCAAATATTCTGGATGAGTTTTCTCTTCAATTTTTTGCATCTCCTTAATTTCATTTTTAGTTGGTGGAATTGGCAGCTCAAAATTTTTCCATTTCTTGTAGGCCGCATGATGTATTGCTGTAAATCTATTTCTTCTGTATGAAGACAATTTATTTAACTGATCAATTTCCTTAGTTAGTTTATTCTTTTCCTCTTCATTTTGTTCTTGTGAATGTAAATCTCTTTTTTCTCTAATTTGTCTGTGTAATTCCTGCAGATCGCCTAAATTTTTCTTGAGAGTTGCCCAATGATCCAAAGGATGGTCGACAAAAAATTTTTGGACAAATTCTGAGTGTGTATTTGAATTTTGCTGATGAAATTCATCTCTACTAATTTGCAACTCTCTTTCAATTATTGCAGATTCTAGTGCTTCCAAGTTTTTTCGCATACGCTTTATTGAAGTAATAAACCTTTGAATTTCTTCTCCAGAACGAACATTTTTACCGCCCTCATCCCTGCTCGCTTTAATTTTATCTTCTAGTTCAATATATCTCACTATTATATTTATTTCCATCTTTATCACTTCCTCGTGATAATCATCTGGGTGTTGTTCAAAAAACTGATTTGCAATAAGTCTACCATCAAGCCTATCTCTCTTATTAGCCTCCTCTGTTAAAAGACGAATTTCCTTCTTTTTATTCTCTGAAAGGGATTCTAGGTGATCAAGTTCTTGCTTAAATTCTTCCTTCTGTATATAATCCTCCACATTAAGAACTTGTTTTGTTTTTTCCTCTACTTTAACTTTGTGTTGTTCTAATTCTTGTTCATAATCGCGTATGGCTTCCCAGTAATTGTGAGGGTACTGATTAAAAAATTCCTTTACCCATAATGGTACACTATCAGCTTCACTTGTCTCCCTTTTTCGTCTTTTCTTAGCTGCATCCACCACTAAATTAATTTCTGGGTCAATGATAAGTTCATGCTCAATTGTCTCGATTAAAATATCACGTCTTTTCCTAGACTTTTCTTTGTTGGATAATACAAGCTTTAGAAAGAAGCTGAGACCGTTCGGTGTTAGTTGTGTTGTTTTGGGAATACCAATTCTATGTGGTTTCTTGTTTTTGTAATTAATTTCGATCCATTGTTTAACATCGGTGCCAATAGTTGCAGCCCATGACTGGGGGTATTGGATACTATAGAGCCCACATACCCAGTTTCCACCTTGAAATTCTATTGGTTTCGGCAGATGTACACGATATTTATTGGGTTTATTATCTGGGTAATCACTAACATTACTTGGAAGAACAACAAAGAATGTATTAGCCATTATTTATTTTAATAAAAATAATAAATTGAACAATAAAAGTGAAAAATGATTACAAATGATTTATGGGGAATGAAAAATTGGGCTTTTATACAAACTGATTTTCATCTATCCACTGGGGTTGGGGATAATCAAAAAATTTAACAAAAAATTCTTTACTTCCATCTTTTTTCTTTTTGCTCTTAATAATCTTTTCAATTCTGTAGCTAGTATTCTCATCTTTTCTTACTTTTGTTAGTTCCTCAGGGTAGAAATATCCTTTAAATAATTCTCCATTATCGTCGCGGACGCGGTATCTATTTGGATTAGCCTTCTTTTTAACAAGATCTATCTGAAGGATTTCATCACTGTAATTTGGAAGATAACCCTTTGAAAAAATATTTTTGCTTTTGCTCATACGCACATGATCATTTTCATTAAAGCGCGGTTTTTTTCGAAGATTACTTTTCCCAATAGGACCAAATACCATTTCTCTTATTTTCCTTGCATTGTTAAATCTCACATCAACTGGTCTTAATCCACCTAAAACTCTACATTTCGAATGATTTATTGCATCTACAATCTTTGGTAATGCTTCAGTCCATTTTAATGTATGCTTCTCGCTCATAAATCTGTATAATCTCTGTTTAATGTTCCGTATACATCTTTCAGCTAGAGATGCTTTAACTGATGAAAAGGTTGCCGTGTATTTCTCAATATCTTTTTTTCTAAAATAGTTCATAATTTCTTTGCTGCAAAATTCTGTTCCCTTATCGCTAAAAATTCGGTGGGGGTGCATTTCCATTCTTTCCAAAATTTTTTCAAAGGCATCAATCATATCATTAGATTTTTTAGTGCGAACAGGTTCAGCGAAAACTCTTTTACTTAAAACATCTATTGCAACAAGTGCATATTTTTTTCCATTATTTTGCCGCGATAATTTTTGAAAATCCGCCAAGTCGCATTGAACATCTGTCATATACCCGGATGGATATGTTATTGATCTTTTAAAGTGCACACGTCTAGGACGGTGAATTGTATAAGTTCTATTTCCTTCCAAATATTCCTCAACATCCTTCTTTTTAATACTTGCATCTTTTTTCCGAGCCTCTATCCATAGCTGGTTTACACCAGCAAATCCGGCTGGATTAGCTGGATCATTGTAAAGTTTATCTAAAATCATTTCCACTCTGCTGGAAGTCTCCATTTTGATTCAGGTATTTCTTTGGATTCAGGTATTTTTCTTTTTTGCTTTGTTTTTGTTCTTTTTGGGGTACAGCTTTATCGTGCCTGCTCTATCAATGGCCAAATTTTTTGATCACTTTTTAGTTTATTTTCTAAAACTGATGTTCCCGGTGGTGTCAACTCTCCCCATCTCAATTTCCCAATGATTCCTGTCCGGAGAATGCACTCTATGGATTTTTGTGCATTGCTTCCTTGTATTTCTTTTCCTCCCTTCTTACTTAAAATCTTTCCATCTGTGCTCACATCATACTTATCAAGATTCTCTTGCTTCATACTTTCAAATATTTCTTTTGTTTTTTCTTTTATTGTTGCCTTTTTTGGTTCAGTCTTTCCATTCGAATCCAGAGATTCCTCCTCAGCCATGCGCATAGTAAGATCATCCTCATTTAAATCAGAAACTTCTTCTAACGGGGACAATTTTGATGTGGTAATATTTTGCTTGAAATCTTTTTGGGGGCTTTCGGTTACTTGATGATTTTCATTGGAATTTGTTTGGAGCAGTGGAAG